CATCCATCATCAAATTTAGAGAGATTTGAGGAACAAATGGCTCACCAAAAATAATCTTGATAGATCCTTGGCTATAATCTACCAAATATTCATTGGGAATCACCAATAATTTTTTTATAACCAATCATTGAATGTGAAGTAATCTTCTATCTTGATCCCAAGCATACAAGTGGCTTGTCAACTTCCTCTAACTTCCTAGGCTCTAGTAACTTGAAATCTACTTTCTTCGTTAGATTTTTTAAAATGTTTCTAACTATCACTCTTTTGAAAGATATGTCTAGTTCATTCTTTCTTTAAAAGGAGCTAGAAATTCCTTCCTTGATGTTGACTGTTATTGTTGTTGTTGATAGTGCTAAGGATGATATTTCTCAACTTGAATCATTTCTTGTAGATTATGCCTTTCATATTTTCAAAAACAAGGCTTGAGACTGCCTAAAACAATTTGAACACATTTGAATAATTTATTGTAACAAGCTATTAAAATTCATCTTTTTCTTTTAAGGATTCTCTTTCAATATTTAGTCAAATGGTTGGGTTACTGAGCTAGCTATCAGTTAAACAGAGTGAAACTTGTTACCACCAAGAAGTAGAGAGGTTTGGGGCACTTGCGTCCCTAGCAACAACCATGTCCATCTCATTTTCCCTAATCCTTTCCTTTTCCAGTCTTCACCTAATGTGGTCATTTTTATTACACATTTGCATCTTGGTTATAAGCGCGAACACAAAAGAAGAACCAATTTCAAAAGTACTACTTGTCAAAACAAGCCAGAATATAAAAAATGATAATTTTCTTCATCCTTTGTTCTCTAAAATATACTTAGAGAGTCTAGCCTTAGAGAAAATAGAGGGTCTAAGGACTTGAGTGGTAATTGAAGTTTTACTTCACATAATAAACTCTAGGATGAGATCATTTTGTGCAACTTTAGAAGGCTTAGCTATAGTGAAGACCAAGGCATTTATGGCCATTGTCAGATTTTTGAATTTCATCCCAATTTTTTTTACATTGCTATTAGTAAGCTGAGATTGATCAAGAACAAGGTTTAGATCATTAGAGAAAGTGAAGAGCAACTTTTCTTAGATTGCAAAAATTCTAAAGTCAAACTTTCTAATTTCTTGATCTCTGAATAGATTTTTTTATTTTGAATTTTGAATCGTATCCTACATTATATAATAAACTACACAAATATATAATTGCAATATAATGGTAAGATTGGAAAATATTTTAGAGAAATTTTTTATTTAAATTTAAAATTTTAGAAGTTTGATTGTGATTTTGAAAACCAAATTGTAAACTTCAATATTGACAAAAGTTTAAAATCTCAAAATATTTTAGTGAATTTTGATTTTGAAGTTTTGGTGGGAAGATTTTAAATTTATGAAAATTTGAATTTTGAAGGTAACTTAGATTTAGAAAGTCTTCACTTTAGATAGAATTTTGAGTTTGATTGAGTTTAAGTGAATTTAGAACCTTTCCCACAAAATTCTAGATTTGCTAGGAGGTTAGAAAATTAAGGATTCTCAAAATTTTAAAATCTCACTTATAAAAATTTTGTTTAATAAGATGTTAAAAAAAAGGAAACTTTTTGTGGATTTTAAAATCCTACTCACCAAATTAAGGATTGATGGTGGTTTCCAAAATTTAGGATGTTGAACACATTTGTCCGAGGAAGAAATGGACAAAGAAGTCATTGGAAGAAGAATAATCTTAGCCCATGAAGAATGTAAGCATATTATTGATATATAAAATATAAATCACAACTAAAGATAGAGTGAGGAACCCTCCTCATTTAAGTCACTAAAAATTTAGTGGGGAAAATAAACTATGGATATAACTTTTTTTTTTAATAATCATATACAACATAGAGAATAATATCTCTTCTTTAAAAATAGAAATGATATTCTTTAATGATTAAACTAAAAACAGTGTATTACAAAAATATCTATATTCATAGAGATCTTTCCATATATCATTTGAGTAAGATATGATTTATTCTATTATGAGGTTTATGTTTCTCATAAAGGCATGCTCTTATATTTGATTACATCAAAAGAGAAGTGATCTCTTAGAATACTTTCAAGCAAAATAGCAATAAATATTTTTAAGACATCAAAGTTTAGACAAAGGACATTTTTTTCAAATTGGTTTAAAATTGATCCGTTCTTTTTAGAGGCCAAATAATGAACAGTAGGGAGTGTTGGATTCTTAAAAGTGCTCCCAACTATCATATGTCGGGCTTTAAAGTTTTGAAAATCATATTTACTAATTGAGTTATTAATTTTTTAGAAGTTTGGGGCTTACATTTTATCAACACAAGATTGAGAAAATGCATAATTGTGAGGGCTCATCATATAGCAAATCAAACTATGACCCTAAAATTAATATTAACACTACTGAGTAGTAACTTGAACCTAAGTTCAAGGAAATGTAACAAGACTTCCAACTTTCAGTTCACAATGGGTTTTGAAAAAGCCTGATTCTACTAGACTTTACAATTGATTAGTTGTGAATGAATTTGTCACAAAATTATTCAAGGGTCCCTAAGGGGTCGGTTGGGTTCAGTTGGTCCAATTAAGACTAATCAATCTAACTAAATTATTAATGAATTTTATTCACCTATAGGGAGGTCTTCTAAAGCATTTGAGATTATTCATTACAATCACATTGGTCAATTGAATCAAAGGGATTAATTTTAGGAAGGCAAATGGGTTGGCTTTAGTCTTATTTGGTTTAAGAGGTCTAATTGGAATCTAACTTATTATTTAGGTCATCTATACTTAATGGTATACACCTATTAGGATGAATTTGGTTTAGTGATAAGATCATTATTTGAGAAACAATAAATGGTCCTATAAGGTTTATGGTACATTAGAATGTTTTATGTTAGCTTGATCATGGGTTACAATACTCATAGACCTAGTAAAATTATCATAACAACTCACATTAGCTGACTAATTAAGTTGGAAAAATGATACTTCAACCTCTAATTGTATCTACAAGGACCAAACAAGATTAATATGAGAGAGGTTAGCTTTGATGAGAGATAGAGCTTTTGATTGAAGGTTTTCCTCCTACAATTCTTTATAGTCCAAGGAAAATCCTATAGCCATTCTTGGGTATCTTCCAATCTTACATAGTCTAAGGTTATGGATATAATTTCTAACTTATTAAGCTAAGAAAGGATCCTACAAGATGATCTAGGATTACTGGAATAGAAATTAGAAAGGAAGAATGCTTGGAAACTTCTAGGAGAAAGTTAGGAATCCAAGAAGAAGGTTGAAATATCTAAACTTCTAGGAGTAAGCTATGTTTCAAAGTAGAGTTGACATTTTTTTTTTGTCAATATAAACATAAATTTCTCATTATGGTTGATCAATTTCATTTATATAGATCTTTTGTTCTAAATTAGCCGCTTATTAATTGAAGAACAAGTCCTTGCTTAAAGTGTTTTCAAGAATATTGTAAACTTAACTTCTTGATTTCTCTTTGATGGGGAGAATGTTAAAAAAGCTCCCCTTGTTTCTTGGCATAGTGCCACTCTAACTTGGCATAAGAGAGGTATTAGTATACTCTATATCCCTTCTTTTAACATTATTTGAAAATGAAATTCATTTGGAGGTTGAATTAATTCTTGTAAACTTTTGCCCAATGGCGCTCAATTATGCTTCCATTAGATTATGAATGTGAGGAGGGTGTCATCTATTTGGAAGGCATTGTAGCCAATTACAATTGATCAAATGTGCCATTAGCTTTCTTATATCTTTCTTATATCTTTGTTTTTTTGATTAGTTTGCTATGTGGTTATTTAGGAATCTTGTTCCTAGATAAATATACTTTTTTTCAAATCCTTTATATTTCACATTTAGATGACCACTCTCTTCATATTCATGATATTATGAAAAAGGTTCCTCCTTTTTATTAATTTAATTCTAGTTTATAATGTTCGGTGGTAAATAAAAGCATGAGTTCATAGATTGCGATACTCTAGCCTTGAGTGCTTAAAAAAATAATGTGTAATCAATTATAATTTATATTTTATAAACCTAGTTTATTTTTTTATTCATTTTATAGGGATTATCTCTTTGATTTTAGACTCTAAAGAAATTTCTCATCATTAATAAAGCATCACATTTTATCACCAAATGCCTTACTCGTAGTCTACTAATCATCATCATATTTTTCACTAGGCTTCCTATTGATAGACATCATACTTAGCAAAATAACTAAATAATGAATTTCAACTAATTGAATATAAGATGAAATTCATGTTTTTAATTAGTAATGCACTAAAACCCTTGTTGATGTTACCTATAGATATAACTATTACCACTATCATCATGCTTATATTAGCTAGCATCTAATATGTTTGCAAACAATGTGGGTCATGGCCATCTTTGATGCACTTGACATCACATTTTCTTATTTAAACCACCTTAGATGGCATATTATTTTTGTACACAATTCAACAGCTAATAGACTCTTACATTTTGAAAATGTTTTATTTTTATAGTTGTTTTTCATGCAAGATCATATTAATTTATCATATAAGTTCATGATATATTTATAATGTTTGAGTTTGAATTTTTTGAGTTGAGACTATATAAAACTATCATACTCATATGATTTTTGATAATCTATTTCAACGCAAAATAACAATAAAAAAGCTACATCCCTTGAGTACAAGTAGGCTTTATTTTGGACACCTTTTGACCACTATTTTTTTGCTTATTTTAAAAAAATTGTGCTAAAAAACTGCTTCAAAAAATATTAAAAAAGATATCTCAATCTAGATTAATACTGATCCAAAAATCTTAACTATTCATATTATTATGATCACAATAGTTTGCACTTGCCAATAATAAATATTAGGCTATAAAAATGAAATATGCAAAATAAATTCAAATAAAAAAATAATATCTAAATAATTTTTAGTGCAATGATTTACAAAAAGACTCATTCTTATGAGAATAAACTCCAAGTCTAAAATAAGTCTTTTTTGCAGTCTTTTCCTCCTGTTGGCAAAGATGGAAGGCAAAGCTCTATATTACCTACTCACATACAAAATAATCTTGATGGTCTAACCATCAACCAGGTTTGTTTTAGTATTTTTCCTAAACAGTTGTTCCATCATGATAGTTTATTATAACACACCTTTTATGCACATATGTTTTGATATGATTTATGATTCGTTTGGGATGATGTCAGCTTTTTATAAAGTTAACTGTAAAGCTGCAGTAGAGAAAACAACTCGCTAACACAAAAATTTATTTAAAGCAACGCAGTGAAACAGCCATGGCCAAGCAAAAATTATGATCGTGATTTGAAAAGCAATGAAGTAAAAAAGCTATTCCGAACAAACATGAGATACCAAAAAGATATAGAAGTAAATATAAAGATTTATGTGTTGGATATGTAAATGCATTAGGGTTTTTTGATATGCAAGTAAATCCCCTTAGTTTTGATTGCTTATGATATATACTTATGCTATCTATGCTAAATAATTTTCTTATTTTCTTATAGGCCATGGATCAAAAGAGGATTTTCATCTTAGATCACCATGATTACTTGATGCCTTACTTGAGGAGGATTAATATGCAAGGAGAATGCATATATGCTTCACGCACCCTTCTATTAAGAAGAGATAATGGCACACTTAAGCCTCTGGTTATTGAGCTAAGCTCGCCTGAAGAAGAAGGAATTGGCCTAAATAATAGCAGAGTCTTCCTTCCTGCAACTAATGGCATCGATGGTGCATTATGGCAACTCGCTAAAACTCACGTCTCCATTAATGATTCTGGATATCATCAACTTATTAGCCACTGGTGAATTAGCTCTTATGTTAAATGATTATCATTCTTAAGGCTATGAATGAGTCGAGTCGAGTTCAAGTCATTCTTGGCTTGAGCTTAAGCTTGATTAACTAATCGAGTTCGAGCTCGAGCTTTATTCTATGAGTTTGAGCCCGCTCATGAACCAGAACTAGCTCAAACTTGACTAGTTAGCTCATCGAGGTCGGCTCATGAGTCTTTTATCGAATAGATCTTGATCAGGCTCATGAGCCGGCTTGAATCACTTACACCTCTAATCATTTTATGAAATAACCATTTTTCATGTTATAACTTCCACTTTAAGTTAAGCTAGTTATTGATAGGTTACACACACATGCTGTTGTTGAGCCATTTATAATTGCAACAAGAAGACAGCTGAGTACAATGCATCCTATTCACAAGCTTCTTGACCCACATTTCAAGGATACAATGCATATAAATTCACTGGCTCGGAGCATACTTTTGAACGCCGGTGGGATATTGGAGAAGACAATGTTCCCTGCAAAATTCTCCATGGAATTGTCTTCCACCATCTATGAGGACTGGAGATTTGAAGACCAACAACTTCCCTTTGATCTTCTCAAGAGGTACCTGCTATATTTTTTTTTTGGAGGATTTACAATAGGGATGTTAAAACGGGTTAACGGGTCGAGTTCGGGCCTTACCCAAAATTTATTAGAACTTGAACTTAATTTGTTTGATAAACGAGCAAAAACTCCAACCCGAACTCGTCCTGCTCACAATCCAAATGATCCGAACCCGACTCGTTAACCAATTTTGTTTCAAAAAATATATTAACGGGTTCTTTTCGAGTCATAAATGGGCTGACATGTTAACTCAAACTTGACATGTTTAATAAACGGATAAAAAATCTAACATGATTACTAAATGGATAAACACGAACCCATTTATTAGTTTTGTTTCCATGCAGGGGAATGGCGGTGTACAACCCTAGCCACCGCGCTGGCATACAACTCCTTATAGAAGACTACCCTTACGCCACCGACGGCCTTGACGTTTGGTTCGCAATTAATTCCTGGGTCACTGCCTTTTGTTCCCATTTCTATGCTTCCGACGCCGATGTGGTTGATGACATCGAGCTCCGATCCTGGTGGTCTGAAATCCGGCTCATCGGCCATGGCGACCTCCCGATCGGCTCACTTCGCCCAAACCTCGACTCCCTTCCCGCCCTCATTCTCTCCCTCACAACTCTAATCTGGATCGCTTCTGCCCTCCATGCCGCTGTCAACTTTGGCCAGTATGCCTATGCCGGATTCCCACCGGCCCGCCCCACCCGCTCGCGCCGGTTCATTCCTGTCGAAGGCTCGCTCGAGTTCGCCAACCTAGTTCACGACCCAGATCAATTTTTCATGGAAACGATACCGGACCGGTTCACAGCCACGCTCGGTGTGGCACTCGTTGAGGTACTTTCACGGCATGCCAGGGAAGAGGTATATCTTGGCCGACGAGCGGCGGAGGAATGGACTGATGACGTTGAGGTGGTGAGGCTATTTGCGGAGTTTGGGGAGGAGCTAAGGAAGGTGGAGAAGAGAATAGAGGAGAGGAATGGGGATTTGAGGTTGCTGAACCGGCGTGGACCAATCGGGTTGGCTTACACTTTAATGTATCCGGATATAGGCAACGATGGTTCAAAGGAGAAGGGGATTACTAGTAAGGGGATACCGAATAGTGTATCTATATGACCGCTTAGATTTATTTGGACAATTATTGTGTTGGTAATTAAAGTGATTTATAATTTATGTGTGTTAGCAATTAAATTAATATTTATTTTTTATTTATTTATTTGATTGATTCATACAAGGGTTAGTTATTAAAGTGATTTGGATGTAGGATTTAGACTTCCTTTGAGATGATTTTATTATTGATTCTAAATGTAGCTTTTCAAAGCACAAAAAATTAAAAATTTTATACTAAAAAGTTGTTTTAAGAAGCAGAAAGAAAGCTATTCCAAAGGAAGCCTTAGGCTCCATTTTGGAATGCTTTCTTTTTACTTCTTGAGGTAGTTTTCTATTATAAAAATTAAAAAATTTATACAAAAAAAAATGCTTTAAGAAACAATATGAACGCTTCTTAATGTTTTCTTATTGCTTTTTGAAGTAATTTTTTAGTACAAAACAAGAAGAAAGTTGTCCTAAGGTTTCGTTTATGAAAGCTTTCTTACCGCTTAGAAAACGACAGAGCTCAGGAGAGCGAAATTCAAATTCCTAGACGTTGGAGCGCTCGATGGCAGATGAGCTCTGGACAATGGATCTCGACGGCGGAGCTCAGGACTACAACGGATGCGACGACAAGGGATAGAGCTCGACGAGACGCTCGACATAGAGATAGTCGAGAGCGGATTTTGAGCTCAACTCGAGTTCGAGCTCAAGCTCGACTCGAACACCCCTGGCTCGAGCTCATGCTCGACCCGAACACCCCCCTGGCTCGAGCTCGAGTCGACTCGTTTGCAACCCTACTAGATATCATGCACTATCCATTAATACAACTAAAATTTTCTAAAAAATAATTAAAATATTGGACTATTTAAAATAATAAACTAATATTTTTAAGTAAATGAGACTATAAATTTTATAAACATACTTCTAAAAATAAATAAATAAAATTAGACCACGTTATTGAATAGTGCAAAACAAAATTTTTGAAAACTTTGAACCATAATATATATAATAAAAATTCAAATTTATAAATATAACTTTAATAAAATTTTAAGATGTTAAAAAGCATTAAAAAACCAAAATAAAATAAAAATTCTATTAATATAATTAATGTGAAAAATAAAATTATAATGTTTAAATGGAAGCCCTTTAATATTTATAAATAAAGGCTGTGAAAACCGGACCGGACAACGAACCGGAAGAAGGAGAGGTTCACGGTTCGACCGGT